AAAAAGGCCTGTTCAAGTTTTGGCCAGTTCTCCTACCTTCACTTTTTTGAATTGCCTCGCTGCAGTATAGGAGAATCAAGGGCGTCGTATCGAGGACTAAGGATCTCGGAAATGGAGGAAGGAGCAATCCCCTGCTTGTATTCATCAAAAAACCAATCCTGAAGGGCTTTGATTGATGCTTTTGGATGTAGGCGACGGTAGGCTTAAGGGCTGCTTTTTGAAAATTGGCGAGGCATTTTAGCAAGTGTTCCACACTCACGTGCCTCTAATTAGACCGAATTTTGTATGGGAATTGAAAATGAACACGGTGTTGAGTTCGTTATAGCGAGATATTCGATAGAGCCGGGTTCGTTATAGGCAGGGTTCACAGTACTAATAATGCGGAGAACGGCACGAGAAGCTTCTGACGTATTACCCTCGCCGCAGCATATCGACAATCTCCGACGATAAAGCACGAAGACGCTTGCGAAGATCCGCCTCAAGTTGATCCAACATTGTGGCGGAGAAAGGCAAAGTGCTCTCTCCGTCGGAAAGTGTATCTTGACCATCAGCGGCAGTGTTAGATGTGACCACCGCGCCATTGCATGTTCCGTGGCCTTTGAGTCGCTTTGACAGCAGGTTGATCAACCGCTGCACGCGATGGAGTTCGCTGAGGACCAGCTGAGCTGCCATGCGGCCTTGGTCCTCGCCATCAATGCAATAGCTGCCCACGACAGTGGGAGATTGTAGCACCTTCTCGGAATGGCATAAAGAATGTCGCCGGTGGACCGGGTGAGACTGGCTTGGAGTCTGGCTATCATCCGTCACTGGCGTCTCCCGTGCCGCGGCTGAGTACCAGTCCAAGACTTTGAAGACGATGAGAGACATGATGGCGAGCAAATAGCCGTCCTGCGAGCACGGACACTGCAGCATATTGCTGATTGCTTCGATGGTCTGCTCATTCTCCGCCACAACGGATTGGATTGTGGGGAGCTGGCATGTGGCATTCTCATAGCCCTGCCTCTTCGAACGCGTGCAGGCGGTCGAAGTGTTTGGGGAGAGCTGCTTGAGAAGGCCGAGCGCACGGATCAGGCAGGAACACGGCGACTCCGAGCGGCAGCCCTGGAAACTCGGCGCATCGCTGGTGGTGGTGGAAGCGCGACTGTTCGGAGGGGAGCGTGGCTTGGATAGGGTGGAGAGTTCTGCGACTGCTTCGTCGAGGACCGAAAACGCATCCTCAGGTGGGAGAAGAGCGGCGCCATCGTTAGAATCCAGGCCGTTGTTGACGCCTCTGGAAGAGATGTGGGACTGAGCCAGGACGTCGTGGTCGGACGTTTCTAACACAGGAAAGGATATCGGCGAGGCAAAAAAGTCGTCGAGATTGGTGCTTAAGGTTGTGAGCGTAGACGACGAAGAAGGATCCACCGGTGAGAGAAGATTCGGCAAGATGTCTGGATACTCAGACGTATGCTGCCTGGGAGAAGGCTGGATGAGGGTGGGCGATGTCAAAAGACCCGTCCCCGAGGAGGCGGACCAGGTGGACTCTGGCAACGCCTGGGTCACGTTTGTCGTCTCGCTTGGCCGAGTGTTGTGCTTACGGCCAGCGCGTTTGGTGACAAGGTACTCGCACGCCAGGCCACGTTTTGCGCAACGGGCGCATGTCGGTTTCTCCTTGTTACACTTGACCTTGGAAGCCGAACAGGCATGGCAACTGTCTCGCAGCTTGGGAGCCGCCCGAACCGTCGACCGGCGTGCTAGTGCTGGACCTGTGAGTAGTTCGGGGCCTCCATTAAGCCTAGATATAGCGTGTATTAATGGCGCATCCTCATTGGTTAGATCAAAAATCCAAACATCAGCCCGCCTTGGGTCTGCCCACGTTCCTACCCCTACTATCTCCCCTCTCTCTTTTTTCTCCCTATTATTACTAACCGGTTCTGCGGCGCTAGCGGACTAGTTCTTATTCTCGATTAAGTCGCCAGGCCGTGAAACTGGGATAAGATTATTAAAACTGTGCGGACTCTCTGATTATAAATGGCAATAACTAGGTTTTAGCTTCCAACCCTTTGGGCAGTCATTATTAATATAGTCTTCTAGAAATTTGTTATCCTTAGTGGCCTTAAGCCATTTGGCTAGCTACATTGGCAGTCCGAGTGCCTCTGGGTATTCAAGATGGGAAATTGTGGATCTATATTGAAGCATTTTTAAAGAAGCCCACTAGATACCACTTTGGATCATTATTATAGCCTACCCATTTACAGTCACATGGAATTTACTCGAGGATTTGACATAGTGATGAGAGTGGAACCATAGTGGTGGATTCCAGCTCCACCTTTTGATTGAAAGCGTTGACACATTCGGAAACGCCTAATTCATTCCCCAGACTAAGCTTAACCCGTTTTGGTTATTTCGAGTGTCAGCAGTCTGCAGATGAGCCAAACTTTATTACCCAATCGGGACAGAGATCTATATCTCCGAAATTTAACGCCGACATCATCTATATATATAAATGCAAGAAAGACATCTGTACGATGCGATGCTTCACTGATCAGAATTGGTTTCTTTTTCCTTGTTCGCCTGCAACGTTCCTCCCACACAATGGCTCCAAAGCAGGAGATTCTTTGTTCCGAAGTCATTCTGGAGAAATATGGTCGCTCCCTGGAGGGCAAAACCAGTACGCGATACTATATATCCTTATTAATATTCATACTGACTGACTTCTTCATCAGTTCTCATCACCGGCGTCTCCGACGAGTCAATTGCCGGCGAACTGGCCATCCTCCTCAGCAGCGCTAATCCCGCTCAGCTGATCCTGTCGGCTCGCGCCGAGTCCAGGGCTGCCACCGTCATCGACAAGATCAAAGCGGCCAATCCCCAGGTCGCCGTTCGATTTCTTCAGATGGACCTGAGCAGCCTGGCGGATATTCGAAAGGCGGTTGCCACCCTCGATGACGTCCCGAAACTGGACTCGTTCGTCGCCTGCGCGGGGGTGATGATGCCCCCGTATAACGTCACGGCCGACGGCGTGGAATCCCAGTTTGCCGTCAACTATCTTTCCAACTTCCTGCTGGTGAAGCTGCTGCTGCCGAAGATTGAAGCGGCAGAGCCTTCGTCGTCGATCTTGATAGTGGCCAGTTCCGCAGTGCGGCAGGGACAGGTCTTTTTCGACGATATCAATTTCAGCGTATGCCCTCCCTCCATTACCATTACCATTACTATATTATATCTATTGCTGTATGTCGTCAAGCTAATGTCATACATGTATCTATCCAGGATGGAAAAACCTACAATCCTCTGACCGCGTACGGACAGTCCAACGCCGCGCGGGTCATGTTCGCAAAGAGTCTTGCCGAGAAGCTGCGCGATCGCAAAATTCGAGTTTTCAGCATTGACCCTGGAGGTATGTACATACCTACCCTAGGAGGTATATATCTGGGAAAGAGGAACTGGGCTAAGAGTTTTTTTTTTTCGTCTCCTTGCAGCCGTCCGATCGGGATTGCAAAGGCACTTCCCCCCAGAATTAAGGGCTTCGGTTGATTCAATGAGGGAGTCAAACACACGTAAGACTACTCACCTGTTTCTTACATCTGCGGACAGTCGTGCTGACATGTACTTGTTTAAAAAAAGCCTTGACAGACCTAGACGGCAGACAATACTATCTGCCACCGTGGACGTCCAGGTCCGAAGGAGCAGCCAGCATCGTCACCGGCATGATCGATCCGACTGTCGAAGGTAAGAGAAAAAAAAAACAGACCTTCCTTCCTTACACTCGTATAAGCCGTAGAATACGTAGCTGATCAACGCAGACTCGAGCGGGGCCTTTTTGCACAACAACGCCGTTGCAGACGACGAGCTTCATTCGCACATTTTAAACCGTGAGAACTGGACCAAGCTGTGGCAGCTGAGTGAGCAGTTCATCGGAGAGGACTTTACCCTTTGAAATTTAAATAAATAAGTGGCCTTGAAAGTTGTGTAAGACCCAGAGTTTGCCTCGGTAAGGTACATTGTCCATACACGAGCAAAGAACAAAGTCGGTGGATGTAGCAACCTTATGTATGTATGTACTGTACATGCATAGATAGCTAACAAGGCGAGAGAACGAGTTTCCTAATTTGGAAACATGTTGTATGTGTATAGGTATACACACATGCGTCTAACTAGCCTGATGCTGGTATCAGATTATGGCCAGTTAGTCATTTCTCTTATTACTGCTGAGTACCTACGTAGATACGTAGGTAGTAAGGTTCACACATTCCCATCTTCCTTCTCTGACTGCTCTTTCACATTCGCATTCGCATTCGCATTCGCAGTACCGATATCCTCCACCTGCCGCGCCACCGCAACATCCACATCACCCTTTTCCTTGTCGACGATCAACGCCTCACCTCTAGCCAGATCGCGCTCGAAAATTGCTCCGATCTTGGTGGCGTCCCGGTCGAGGAAGACCCATGGTGAGCGGCCCTTGGTGAAGAGGAGGTCCATTTCTTCGAGGGTTTTGCCTGCGGATTCCTTTTTGAGAGTTGTATACAGTCAGCTTGTTTGGATATGTGAAAGGGTGGAGGATGATGTTTTTTTTTATTAGGGTACTTACAGGATAGAAGAGGTAAACGACGATGGACATCAGGTAGCAGAGGGCCATGAAGATGATGTATAGTTTCCAGCTAGATTGTCAAAATGTATAAGTATGGTCATTCCATTTCAGTCAAAGGGGTAAGGTATCTATTGACACACCTTATCTTATTCATAGCCGTCGGGATATATAGGCCAAACCAGAAGTTCTGACGAAAAACACCCAGGTCAGCTTGACTATAAAAAAGACATGTACCTACACAGTGAAACTTACGATAAACCAGTTCGTCGCCGTCGTCATAGAAGTCGCCCGACCTCGCATATTCATACTGAAGATTTCCGGTGGATACACCCACGCTACGCAAGCCCAGGTGAGGGCAAACACCATAACATAGATGTAGACAAAGGCAATGACCGTCCGCGACGCGGCTGCGGATTTGAACGTGAAGTTTGTCTTTTGCGTGAGGGAGTCGAATACGGGGTCGCCTAGAGATCATCATCAAGATTAGCAATCTCCGTCTCTTAGTGGCATTTTACAGAAAACTGTGCAGTTTTCTGTTCATTACCTTCTGTCTTCATAATAACTCCGATCAGCATCATCGAAATCCCCATCCCGATCCCGCCAATGATCATCGGAATGCGTCGCCCCCATTTGTCCATATAATACATGTCCGGCAGGGTGAAGACGTTCAACACCAATCCTTGGAGTCCATTCGCAAGTAGAGAAGATGACGTCTCACTCAAGCCTGCTTGTTGGAACAGAAACACGGCGTAGTACATGATACTGTCCATTCTGTTAGACAATTCCAATGAAAAAAGAACGGAGGAAAATAAAAACGAACATGTTGATACCAGTCATCGACTGCCAGAATTGCTAGTTGAAAGTTCAGCAAAAAGTTCTTCTCCCGCTGATCTATTCTACCTACCACGCCAATACCAATCCACATCCGTCTCCTCTCCTCGCCGAAAAGGAGCTTCCAGTACGACGGCGGCGGGTGCAGCTTCTCATACGCAATCTTGGCCGTAATTTCCTGGAATTCAGCCAGCACGTACGGATCATTGACATCCCCCTGCGCATGAACCCTCGCCAAAACCTGCAATGCTTCCTCCTGTCGGTCCTTCTGGATGAGCCAGCGCGGCGATTCGGGTAGAAAATACATCGTTATGTGAAGAGCTACCGTGGCCTTTGCAGAGGTTTCCATCAGTCAGCGATTTAATAACAATTTATGCACTTAGACGGCTGGGATGCTCACAATCATCTGCAGGCCCATCGGAAGTCTCCATGCTGCCTGCCCGTCGATATGGCTGGTGGCATATTGGATCCAGAACGCGATCAAGATCCCAAAGTTGATGAAGCATTGTTGAACAGAGATGATTCGACCACGGATTCTGTCAGAAACCCCGGGTTAGACTTGTCAGAGACCGACGAGAAGATGGCTTACTGACTCTCTCGGGCTGAGCTCTCCTTGGTAGAGAGGTACCTAAAGATCGGTTGAGCTCTATGAGCCGCAAACACCGTCAAGAAGAGATCACCGACTAACCATCATGGCCAAACAACCATTTCCCAGTCCGTTGATCAGTCGACCCGCCACGAGGGCTGCCAGGCCATTGGCAGCCGCGGAAATCGCACAGCCGATGGTAAAGATGGCCGATCCAAGGAGAATCGTCCTTTTTCTCCCCAGGCGGTCTGCTAGGAACGCTCCGGTGATGATGGAGCCCGCAAAGGCCCCGGCCAGGATCGACGCGGTGATGCCCCCTTGACGGAAGTTGCTGGGATAATCGAAGTACGAAAGGAACTGCGGCATGGCCAGGATGCCACCTTGATACTACATGTAAGTGGGACTTTGTCCGATGTCTCGTATCGAGTAGGTATACCCACTCATTGAACCGGTATCCTAACAAATTGCTCTCTATCAGCTTGAGAAAAGTACATACGCATAAAAGGGGAAAGAAGCCCTACATAGCCAAATGCCAGCCCTCCGGTGCAAGGCGCAATGCCGTACAGGTAAACAGCCTGCATAAATATTAATTTCAATTTGACATAGTTCTTAGCTTGGAATATGTACGTACCTTTGATCTCATCTTGGCCAAAATACATGTAGCTACCCCAGCGAGATTTCAACACAGCATGTCTTCTGTAAGAATAAATCAGATTCCTATATGATAATAAACGTACCGCTGACGGTTATTAAATTCTCGTCAGACAAGAACAAAAGCCCATACTTGACTGGTGGAGCTAGGGCCAAAATCCGGGGAATAGCTCCAAGCCATTCACCTCATACTTGACTAGGACAAATAAAGCTGGAAACATGTTCGCTGGTTGGTTGAATGGATTCAGCTAGCTAAGCTTGCCTCTGCTGGACACTGTCAAATAGCCGAGAAACCGGTTCTGATTAGCTGGTTCGGAGTATTATCGTCGTGACGAGGCATGGTCCGCGCCAGTCGATCACAACCGGCTTGGGATAATCAGTTTTTAAACATGTATGTTTGTATTGGCAAATAATAGACACTGGGTTATTGGTCTAGTAAATGGCCCTGTTGTAGTAAGTTTCAGTCTTGTATTAATTTTCGTGGTTGAATATTCCCTGAGTATGACTCCAAAAACCGATGCGATGAGAGTGATTGGCCAGAACGGCAGTACGCCCTATAGGATGTACTTAGCCAGCATGTAATTATCCAAAATGCTCAAATACTCTCTGCGAAGGTGAGGTGTTATTACTGGTTGTGATCGTCTATATTAGTTCCTCGATCTGCTCATCTTCATCGGACTCATCGATCAATTCATCCTTAAATCGCTCCAAATTTTCAGGTGTGATGTAAGCCAGCACTTCCTCTCTCGTTCGCTGCACATGACCACTTCCAAGAGCGTCTTCAAAGAGCGGCTGAAGTTTTCTTTCGCAGAAGTGACAGAGTAGTTTAAGCTGGTCCACACTCAGGTCTTGTTCGTCTTCTCGAATGACTACCACGTTGCCGAGGTAGTCCAGATTTGTCCACATAGGAGCAAACCCCCATGATTCACTGTCCAGTTCCGTTTCCATCATCAGAGATGTTATGTCGCAGTTATCGGACAAATTACATTCTAGAGACGAGTTGTAAGCCATTGAAGTATGCAGAGCTTGGTGCGATTCTCCATCCGCAATTCTCCATAGCTTCAAAGGCATCCCCAGTAGCCTGGAGATTGGGGATGTCATAATGGGTAGGGTTGAGAAGCAGCGCATTGGATGAAATTCTCTGACGATGACTGGCACAAAGCGTGCGGCCCCATGATTTTCAATTTCTGCATCACTGTTGACTTTCACACCAAGTATACCATCTGATTCCCGATCGATTTCTCCAGAAAGCGTTGGAGCTTCAATTTCTTTAACTCGAAAGTCTCCACACGTCACAAAAAGGTCTACTATGTGTCGAAGGTCCGCCAATGTGATGTCGCCATAAAGGTTGGGAGATGGTCTTCGAAGAACAATGCAAGGTCCACTCCAAATGAGGGGTATGGACGCCGTGATACCAACAGATGCAATAATACTCCTATTCGGCTTCGAGCCATAAGTATGCACAGTTGTTCTGGTATAGACATCAAGCTCATAGCCGAGATCACCGCCACGGAGCGGACCGCGCCGCATTGTCCTATAGGTCACGTCATGGCCTTCGGATCGAAAGATATGGTCGATTTGGGGATATTGGACTCCTCTTCTGACCCAGAAACCTACCCATTCCAATTTTGGTTTACTAGCCTCCACGGGGAAATAAATAGCCAATTTGTGTTGTAGAGTTGGACGCTTGGGTAACTTCGAGACCTGGGCGCACAGGAGTCTGTGGCTTTGCCAGTCCGCACGTTGGCATTCTTTGGAGCAGTAACAGCAGCTCCTGCACTTTGTGCAGCGCTTTCCTTGTTTTTCACACATGATGCAGACTTCGCTACTCAGAGTCTCGTCAAACTTCTCTTCGCTTCTCTTCATGGTGATAGACCTCGGATCCGTCCTATATCAGAAAATCAGACGCATTATCTAAATAATCTGGGTTTTCCGCCGTGCTTACAACAGCCGTCCCTCCTTGAGGCGTTGAGACCTCTTTAATTCCTCCGACTCAATTCTGAGCTTCCTCTCTATAATCTCGTTGAGGTCCGTAGCATTCAAATCTGACACAAGACTAGACTGTGCGACATTTCCGCGAGTGAACCTGTTCGGACTTCTAATCCATTCTTGGATCCTCTCGATGAGAACAGATTCCAATTTCGCCAGGACGACCTGGAAATGGGCTAACGAGGAAGAAGGCAGGCCCCAAGCCGGATAGCATATTCCATGTCTACCCCGGCTTCGTATTCTGGGCGACACCAGATCCATAAAGGACTCGCACAATAAGCACGACTTCTTACTGCAACCAAAGTAGCTCAATGTGGGTTGTGAGTGCGGCTTATCTGAATACTCTGCCAGGAGTTGGATCTCTGCGTGAGCGTGGAGGGCCTTTGAGCAGTGCTTCTGAAAGTCGTTGTTGAGTTTATCGGAGTCGAATGGAGCGATGCATTCCAGATTCAGTCGCTGCAATGCATCCGGAAGTGTCGTAATAAACTTGCTATTAAGGGTCATGGGTTGTGGTGGGTTGATAGTAATGAATTTGATGTTGCGAAACTGGGGCAACCTCAAAGCAATTTCGGCGAGAAGGCGGCAGTTGAATATCGGCCGTGCAAGGGACAGAAGCGCCTTCCAGATTCGGGCTCGTGGTGCTTTCCCGACCTTCGAGGGAAGGAGCAATTGGGCATCACCGGAGCGAGTGCAGAGATATGCTAATCGGACAACACGGCGTCTTGCCTTGGCGTGGTGACGATGCTGTTCTGTTTTAATGATATTTGTAATCTCGATAAGATGTGAAGACATGCTCGCGTTGTCTTGTGCGTTCTTGTTCTGAATGTCAGGCCCAGAACTACTGCCAAAGCTGACGAGCCTCTCGGTCCAGTGGAAAATCCGACTTTTGTTGCATTCGATCGCTAAATCTTCAAGGGTGACCAGTAGAGCTTCTCGACGTTCCTCGTCCCCTTTTAACCTGTCAATGTGTCCTTTTGTTCGAGCCTTCGCTGAACCTTACCCTCAGGAATTTGAGCAGCCATGCACTCGTAAAGTATGTCAAAGAGACATCCAGGAGTGATATTCTCCTTCCCTCTTGGCTTCAGCTCTTTGTTTTGTGTGATTTGAAATCCCCGGTTACTTGCAATATCAATCTCTATGTAGTCTTCTCTTTCTCTTAGTGCCGTGGCTGTCACATCGTCCCACCCTTTTGACGATGACAAAAGCTCAGCCAGACAGTCAAGGAACTTTTCTTTCAGTCTTTCACAGGAGTCTGGAAAGGTTGTAGCATCGGTGCTTTGAATTTCGGGCTCTTCATCTTCGTCATCGAGGCTCGATTCGTTGTCGGCCATCTCAGATGATACCAGGCCGGTTTGATATCTGTCTTTGGATAGGTATGACAGGATGCGTGAGGCCCACACCACCCGTGCATACGATTCCTCAGCCTCCATTATAGCAGCGCGCTAGGATTCTTGACTTTGGTCCTGTTGCTTCTGCATTTGGAGATAATCGATGCTGTTGTAATATGACTGCGTTGGCAAGGTGGGGCTGGACTATATATACGTTACTGCCAAAAGTCGTTTTCCACCAGTAATCATGCACATTCTGAATTTAAATGCACGTTCAATCTTTCAATTTTTTTTTGAACTTCCTAGTAAGAATATTCTAATAGCCAATTCACCAAGCATCAAATTTTTCTCTAGAGAGAAGGTTCCGGTAACCTATATATCAATCTTTGTATCAATTCAAATGCGGCTTCCAGAGAGGATTTCCTTGATGTGGCAGGTAAACTTGATGTCCACGGACAACTTTCCATGGTATTTTTCAAGTCTAGAAACGCCTCGAAGTCATTGCTTGAGCTTTGTTCTGGCAGCTGTAAAGTCTTCTGTCGTATTATGCTCAGGGATTGAATAATATGAGTCCCGCCATAGTGAAGTGTGAGCAAATACGCAAGGTGGTCAACACATCTAAGGGTAAACCAACAATGTATAATTTTAAGCGAGAACCCTATACAATAAGACCGTTTTAATATATTAATGTCAACGCCATGTCGTATGGAAATGTCATTTGAAAAACACAGCGGTATCCTGATTTCTATGGTCTCAAGCAACTAGTTTCCCTAAACAAACACGTTTATCGCTATTTGATTTCAATTATACTGAACTAATCATTCTCCACTTTCAATACTTGGTTAAGGCCAGATCACGTGATTGAAGAGGACGGTGAAAGCGGCAATCTTTTCACCCGACTGACAGACTATGCGGAGTAAAGATATGGAGTTGATATGCACAGATACGGACTACCTCCGGAGTATAGACTTAATCTATGCCGAGTCTGTCCTCCTGTCAAGCCACATCCACCGATATCCATGGAGGTGGCTGACAGGGGCGATTGGGACAGCATGGCCAATACACTGTGACAGAGGCACGTGAGGGCTAGCCAGATGACGTCGTTGACCGAGTCCGGCGCTTACGGCACGCTGAACAACTCAAGGAATTAGTCGACAGTGGGCTGCAGATCCACATCCACGTCTCCCCACGTCAACGGAGTATGCAACTCCTTCGTCCCTCTCTTCAATTTGGGCCTCTCTTCCTCCTTTCTCTTGTGTGTAACATCTGAGGCCTGCGCGGAAACCATCTGTGATTTTGCTTTGAGTCAATCTGTAGAAGAAACCTTACACTATGACTTCTTCCAAGGACGTCTCCGACAAGGAGACGTGTCCCGACCTTCCTCCAAGCAACAAGGGCTCCTGGTCCACTTTCCTCAAAGTAAGATCTTCTCTGTCGATGTGCATCCCTTGGAGCGTCAACAACTCTGATGTTCAGCAGTGTAATTATCACTAGATTGCTGACTCCCTCCGCCATAGTCCATCGCGTCCTTTAACGGAGACCTGTCCTCTCTCACTGCCCCACCCTTCATCCTCTCCTCCACATCGCTGGTCGAATACTCTGCATATTGGGCCGAGCAGCCCGCGATTTTCATCGCTCCTGCAAGGGAACCAGACCCCGCGAAAAGGGCGCTCTTGGTCTTGAAATGGTTCCTAACCACGCTCCACCAGCAGTACTGCAGTCGCAGTGAGAAGCTGGGTAGCGAGAAGAAACCCCTCAATCCCTTTTTAGGAGAGCTCTTTTTGGGGAAGTGGGATGACGATAAGGATGTTGGCGAAACCACTCTGATCAGTGAGCAAGTCAGGTGCGTGTGATGAATTCCGGTCACATAGCTTCTTGACGCTAGACTAACTCCGTCGGCAGCCATCATCCTCCGGTTACAGCCTACGCTATTGAGAATGAGAAGCATGGAGTCCAAGTGAGTACTACACCTCCCTCCCTCAATTTTGTGAATCGCTCGTCTGACAGCATCTTTTAGTTGCAAGGGTACAATGCCCAAAAGGCCTCCTTCTCCAGCACGATTCAGGTGAAGCAGCTCGGCCATGCCCTCCTTTCCTTCACACCTCCAGGAAAGGACAGGAGCGACCCGGCACAACGGGAGACGTACCTCATCACTCTGCCAAGCCTGCACATCGAGTCCTTGATCTACGGAACACCGTTTGTAGAACTAGAGAAGAGCACCAAAATTGCCAGTTCCACTGGCTACATTGCCAAGATCGAGTATTCGGGCAAGGGATGGCTGAGCGGGAAGAAGAATTCCTTCTCGGCCATTCTATACAAGGAGAGCGATGGTGAAAAGAATCCGTTGTACACGGCGGACGGCCAGTGGTCGACCCATTTCACCATCAAGGACGCCCGCACGAAGAAAGAAGTAGAGACGTATGTCGTCAGCAACGTAATGACGACTCCCTTGAAGGTCCCTCCTATCTCAGAACAGGATCCTTACGAGAGCCGACGGGCGTGGCACGACGTGGCCTGCGCCATCGAGCGCGGCGACATGGACGCCACCCAGGCCGCGAAATCGAAGATCGAGAATGCGCAGCGCGAGCTCCGCAAGAAAGAGAAGGAAGAGGGCCGGGAATGGGAGCGACGCTTCTTCAAGCGCGTCAACGAGAAGGACGACCCCGTGTTCATGCGGCTGGCCACCATGCTCGACATGACGCACGGCAACGGCGCCGGCATCGAGAGCGACCGCACCGCCGGGGTGTGGCGGTTCGACAAGGAGCGGGCCAAGGACGCAAAGCCTCCATACCACAAAGTCGGAAGTGAGGGTCTGGGGTTGGAGTAAACAATGAATGACTCGCTACATACATACCAATTTTATATATACATATTTTATCCACATCACATCAGGTCAGGATGACCAACCAACACAGGTACAGGTCAGGTCGGGTTATGGATTAGCAGATTGTATTAATGTTTTTTATTTAACATTCATGACAGATCTGCAACATGAAGCCTTCATAGAGCTTCTCTCCGTACAGCGTACCGTTGCCACTGATTGGACTCTCTCCCGCTCTCGCTTTCTTTTCTTTAGATATAAATGCTTTACATGCTCCTCAGTGAACTTCTGTCTGTGTCCGTTTGATTCCCATCGTGAAGGCCGGTGATTGGAGCACCTGTTCCCAATTATGCAACATCTGCGTGTTGGTGGTCGACAGCCGCACTTCGGCTCCCGATCGTTCGATCGTCTCTTCCTCGTACGCCGAGATGGCCTCCTTCTGTAAGGACTGGCTCTCCTTGCTGTCCTCGGGTATGAAAGCAAAACTCTTGATCGCGTCAACCAGATTGGCTGCGTCCACCATCGCGTGGTTCAGACCCTGTCCCCGCTGGTATGTCATAGCATGGGCGGCGTCGCCGGCTAGGGTGACCCGTCCGCCGTGGTTGTCCCAACGATGCCCATCGGCGCCCGGGTCGAAGTCGCTGAGCCCCATGTACCACACTGGGTAATCGTCATCCTCTATCCATTCACATGCGCTCCGCCATGGATCGGAGAAGTTCTTCGCGAAGCTCTTCAGCTGCTTCAGTCTCTGGGCATTCGTCCAGCCCGCCGTCGCGTCTTGCTCCTCCAGGCTCGACGGCCAGGAGATGTAGAAAAAGACGTCCATGTCTCTGGCCGAGATGGGTCTGGCACGTCCTGCAGCCCAAAGAAGCCATAGTGACCCGATGGATTGATGCCGCCCAGGTACAGCGGGTGCCATTTGCGGAGATAGAGAGCCTGTTCGGCGGTGTATTTGGCATAGACGAACGTCGCGCAGTAAGGAAGACGTCGGACCACACCGCGTTCAGGTCCAATGAGAAGCTTTCGCAGAGTTGAGCGAGCGCCATCAGCGCCGATGATCAGTCTTGCCGAAGCTGACGTCCCATCCTCGAAGTATGCGGTCGCCGTTCTGCCATCCTCGGAATACGTGATATCCTGCAATTTCTTTCCGTATCGAATGTCTACTCCTTCCGCCAGAAGAGCACGCAGTTTGCTTCGCCGTAGCCGGTAGAACTTCTGGACCGGGACGGCCAACAACTGCTCGCCCGACTGCGCGTTGAGGATCGGGACAACATCGTTTTCCGCTGTGGGAGCGCTCGCGTCTACCTGCACCGATTGGATCCGCGCACAAGACTCTTCTGAGAGGAGACCCATCAGGGCTGGGGCACCCCAGTGCAGTCCCATGTTCCAGTCGCGCAGTCCACTATCGAGACTGGGACGCTTCTCATACACCACATAAGGGATTCCCGCCTGAAAAGCCATGTTTAGTTAGCTTCATTGTCGTGAACGAAGCTGTCATTGACGAGTCCAGCCGGATGTACTGTACCATTTTCAAGCCCTGCGCCAGCGCAAGCCCCGTAGAGCCTGCGACTCAAGAATTGAGTGGTCAGAAGGAATTGCCACTCCGGGTATCAACTAAAAATGTCAACTCACCAGCACCAACTATCAGGACGGTAGTCACAGTGTCGGTGCCAGGCTTCGACACTGCTCCGTTTTGCTTGTTAATATCAATGACAGCCATGATGCTCAGAGCAATTGAGTCCACAGAGTCCAGCAACACCACGATTTCACTCGATCGCGAGGCGTTATTAATACCTTTCCTCCTTCGGTATATGTATCTCAATAGAGAAGGTCCTGTTATCGATAAGATCGATAACCATTGGCCAATGCTTGCCAGTCCTCATGAGGGGCCACTGGAGGCATTTTCTTGCTAAGTGCACCTTCTAGATGTTCATAGTGCGGATGTCATGCATCCTCCAAGGCCGCCATCCGCGCCCCTTGGAAGCTTCTGTCAGGTTATATCCAGCAGTCGAAACCGGTGATTGGATAGGTCCAGAGGGGCCCGAATCCATGGCCTGGTGGGCTGGCCACTATTTCGTGCACCGTCCTGGAGTTGAAAAACATGAAACGTCGATCTTTTTATCTCTCGTGGGGGTCGCTCTGACTCGTTCGATGTCATAATCCTGGCCGGCATATGCATTAAGAGTTGAGACAGTATATTAATCGCAGGATGTCCCCCTCTTCGTTTTAGTTCCCCGCTTCGTTGATGGACGGTACTGGGAAGCTCATCATGCGCTAAATTAGTCTAAATTGGGCGATCCACGTTGGCGTGGAGCGCGTGGTGTTTCGTTCGGAATTTCAAGCTGCCAAACAAAAATAACCCGGTTAGTTTCCGACTCTCGGACAGCAGGCTGAAACAAGCCGACGAGCATAGACACATACAGAAGAGAGGTGTTGGAAACTCTAGACAGGAAGTAGACTCTCAACCTGGCAATCCGAGGCAAGCTTCAGTCGAACTCCAGAGCACGAAAACTTGCAGGCGAGGATGGCGGTTGTTTCCTGTCATTTTCGAAGGATCAGCTGGGAGGATTGAGGTATTACGGAGTATTGTTGTCCTTCAAGGTTGGCAGACGCCACCGGCAAAACTTTCGCATTGGCCTCGCATGGCGGTGGAAGTTTGGAGACCAAAAGGGCTAAGGCAGGTACCGCCTAGGAGCGCTGTCACCTGGCACGACTCGTGCTTCTGGAGACCGCCTTTTACAGAAAATTTGATACACAACAGTAGTGAAGAACGAACTCCTGCGACCGTAACTTTTGTTTTTGATTTTTCATCCTGATCTCATCAAGCCTGGCTGTGACACCATTGCATCAAAGACGGCAAACTATGTAGTACAGGAAAAGTACTAGCAGAAAAAAAAAGGCATGGATCATTGTGACAACACAGGATGGCTGTGTGCCTGATAGAACAAACCACATAATAATGGAAAGAACACTGATTCATGGTAACCAGCACAATAAGAAGAATGCTGAATTTTTCCCTTTGGTCATTCCCGTTGCAGGTAATGAAGACACAACATCCCAGCAAAAGCAATAACAAAGGTAAGGCCAACCAAGCTCCCATGGTGAGAAGAGAGTACATGTCAGAGAGAAAAAATAAAAGAAAAACATAAGAGCAGCTTAAAACCAGATCCACATGCTCTGCCAGGCCCCGCCATCCCAGAGAGAGACAGAGTAAAGAGAGAGAGAGCAGTTCTCATCATGGCAAAGGAAAAAAACACAAACAACAAAGGAAACGCCTTGAATCCTTGCTTAATGCCCGTAGTTGCCTCCCCATCCCCCACGTCCAGTGTTCCCGTAATAGTTCCCAAACCCTGCACCTCCATAATTACCGTATCCAGTTCCTTGGTGGTGGCTCTGCGTCGCGGCCGCCTGGTGTCCACCAAGTCCCCCCAGACCGCCGTACTGGGGGTTCAGGTGAGGATAGCCACCAAAGGCCTGTTGACCCTGCTGTCCCTGCAAGGGAGGCAGGCCCGTCTGCGACTGAGGCTGTCCCGGAGCGCTGTTGGTCGCCGAACCAGGGCGGTTGGCTTGAGCCAGTGACGGACTTGGTCCACCAGTCTTCGAGGCTTCAAAGCCCTTTGTGGTCTCTTCAGAGCTCACCGGCTGCTGCTGAGAAATCTGCTGGTTCTGACCAAAGCCCGACTGAGAGCGTCCGAACACGTCCGGCATGCCGGAGCCGAATGCGTTGTTGGCAGCAGCCTGCTGGTTTTCAGGCTGTGCAGAACCCGTACGGCCATATACTGAATCGCGACCAGGCAATCCCTGGTTGAAAGCACCAGCGTTGGCGGGCGAAGACGAATGGTCGTAAGAGAAAGGTTGGCCGTACATGCCACCCTTGCCGTAGGGACCGTACTGAGTACCGTATCCGTACTGCGTGCTGTGTGGCATGTAGTGATCGTCATACCGACGTGCGTCGTCGTACATCGGGCGATTCCGTCCATACTGGTGCTGGTTCATCTGGCTCATGTAAGACGCATAGTGAGGATTCGAGTAGTAAGGATATCCGTAACCGTAGCCGCCATGGGCAGCCTGGGTTCCCGGGATGTGCTGCGCAGACGGTGTCTGCGTCGCACCAGGTAGCGTTGGGTTAGGGGTATTGTGTCCACTGTTGGGGGCTTCTGCATGGCCGTAGCGACTTGGAGGCTGGGTCGAGGGGACATGAGGCTGCACTTCAGCTCCAGAGACGCCGAAGCCAGCGGCGGCTCTCTGAGCGGCAGTGGCATCCTGAGATTGGGCATATCCGCCATAATAGTTGTATGGAAGACGCTGCTGATCCGCAGCATAGAAAGGAGAATACTCGCTTCCCGTCGTCGCGGTCGCCTGAGCTGGTGCCTGGTTCGAGAATGGTTCCTGAACCTGGGGCTGCGGCTGGGAGGTCTGGTGGCTGAACGGGTCATACGGCTTCTGGGCGTCGCCATATCGGCTGAAGTCATTGAAAGGTGCGTCAGCAGAGGACGCTTGGGGAACAGGAGGCAAGCCTGGTGCGGGGCGGGCAACCGACGGCGTGTCCGCGGATGATTGGGTCTGTGTCGAGGGTGGGAGCGATGCGCGAGGAGCGACAGGAGAATGCTGGGGAGGCTGGGCCCGGGTCTCTGCCTCCTCCCTGTCTTTATCGATATCCACTTCTTCATCGCCATTCAAGCCCATACTGCCGAATTGGACGGCGGCACGGTCGACAGCATGATTTGCTGGCATCACAACGGCCTCCTCCTGTTCGAGGACCCGACGCTGGAAGCTGGCGCCACGACCCGATCCTGCGGTTGCTTTGTAGGCAGTGGCTGCATAGCTAGATTGTCTGGTGGGACGAGTCTGGGGGTTACGGGGGTGAGAGTGTGAGGGTCCTGGACGCTCGCCACGGTGCTAGCCGCCGTCGTCGTGGCGGGCGGCGCGGATACATCGGGCACTTGTTCGAGGTTCGTCTTCGTCAGGTCGTCTTTCGGAGGCTCAATAGTCTCGGTAGAAGTGGTTGTTGGCTCGGTCGAAGGAGCAGCGGGTTGCTCCGGTGCTTTCTCCTCGGAGGTCTCTGCTGCTGCGGTGGGCACAGGTTCGGCAGGTTTAGGTTCGGTCGCGGGTTCGGAAGGATTTTCTGCAGCCGGTGCAGCGGGAGGCGGAGGTTTCTTCTGGGGAGGAGGAGGTGTAGGCTTTGCGAACAAGCTCGCCCATCCTTTCTTCGTGGTTTCTGGCAGCTTAGGAGCCTCCTTGGCGGTCTCCTTGACACCGTCCGTGGCATCCGTCGATTCACCCGTATCCGTGGGCTTCTTCGTCGTAACAGCGTCTGCATTGTTGGTGGTAGCAGAGCCTTCTGCAGCATCTGCGGTCGTGGATGTTGTCGTCGGCTTCTCTGCACGGGTGCCATTGACCTGAGCACCAGCTCGACCTCCCCGGCCGCCGCGACCACGGTCGCCACGGGCGCGTCCACGACCTTCGAGGCCACCACGTCCACGGCCTCCGCGGGTCGAGGAAGGGGCCGTTTCAGCGGCGCTGCCTTGAGCCTTAGACACTTCCTTGGCCTTCGATCGGGACCGGTCCGTATTCTTCTTCTTCACTTCGCCCCACTGAGATACATTGCCTGATGGATTCGCTCTCGTCAGTCTGGCTGCTGCGACCGTTAGGGGGGTCCTTGGGGATTCACACCTTCAGTGATGTGCTCAATCGCACTCTCCAGGTCGCCGTTTGAGTCCTCCAAGGCAAAGACCAGATCTTCATCTGTCCAGTCGGGGAACAGCTCCTTGAGCTTGGGCACATCGGCCGCATATTTTCTTTTCAGCTGACCAATCTCCCCTTCGTCCTCATATAATGTAGGAGCCGAACTGCTCTCTGTGGTTTCGACCTTGGAAGACGATCTGGCACCGGCTCG